ATATTCACTTTATATATGTGTATATTAATATTTATAATTTTTTTTTATTAGTTGTTATATATTGTTTATAATCAAATACTATGTAAAAAAACAAAATTTCTTTTTCATATATAAAAATATTTTTTATGAAACGCATACTGCTCTATTCCTCTCTTGCTCTCTCTTTATCTCCCTTTTAAAGGTGTTAGGGTATTCTCTATTCAATATTATTTATATACATGTTTTGACATATTTCCCTTAAAAATAATTTACTTAATTGTTACATCGTGCGTATACTTAATACTTAATATTGTTTTACATTTTATGACAAATCCGATTCCCTATCCGCTTAATTTGCTTGTGTGTGTGAACGAGTGGCTGTCTGTGTGCGTGTGCTTGTGATACGTGTTAATGTGTGTGTGTGTGTTGATTTTAATGCTTTTTATGTGTGCATGTGTGTGGGAGTGTGCTTATCAATTTGCTTAACGGTATCCTTTCGCATTTCATTAGCGAGCGCATTTCGTATTGTTGTTGCTGCTGTTGTTGTTGTTGCTGTTGTCGTTAACGCTTTTACGAGCACACGCATTTAAGCACCTGCATACACGCACATTTGCCAAATATACACACACGCAGACGTACACGCACACGCACACACACACGCACACACACACGCACACCCATTCGCATTAATTCTGTTGGCTTCCGTTTGGCTTTTGCCGTTTTTTTACTTTTTATGCGCACAGTTTTTTCTCTTTCTTCATGATTTTTATTTACAAACAACAAAAACAAAAGGCAAATAAATCCAAAAATATTTAATACAGTACATATAGAAATAAACTACAATAAAAACCATAATTTATCCCATCTATCACGCCTCATTGAATTATTTTCTTTCTTCTTGCTTTTGTTTTCTCTCTTTTCCGTTTGTTTGTTGTTTCTTTTTCCACAGGATTGGCTGGATCATCATAAAATACCTGATAGAGGAATTGCTCAATGCATGTATAATTTGCACAAGGTTTTTATTGATTTCATTTAACTTTTATTATTATTACGACTAAGTGTTCTTTTTCGCTCACCAATTTTGTTATGTAGCAATTTAAACGTCATGTCGTAGCTGTTATTATCAAGTCACAATATTCACACGCGCGTAATACATAAAACAGGAGCCTAACAAGAATTTAAGAGGCTCAATTTCGTGGCATAATTTTACGATTACCTTTTTTAGATCCTTCGACACAGAGTGAAATTTGTTGAAATGCCTGAGCATATGTTTCAGGAATTTCAATTTAAATTGAGGCACACTCTGCTGCCTCTGTGAAAGAGGATTTTAGATATACCCTAACTCATGAGTTGAGCTGAAAAGCTGAGCTGTAATGCCACACCGAAGCTCATGAGCCATAAGCCTTTTGTAAGTCTCATTAAACTCAAGGGAATATTTCGCAGAATTTGATAGACACTTTGTTCTCTAACTGCAAAGCGTTTGCCAAGACCCAGCTCAAACATTAACTTTTTTAATATATATTAGAGCATAATTAAAATGCACCTTATAGCATATTGCACTTGCCGTCATTCATTATGTCACGCCCTTTGTTCTGTGCTTTTTTGCCAACGAGCTGAGACGTAAATTATGATATTCAGCTGGCAGCTAGGCTAACTACCTGCTTACAACAAGCTGCTAATTAAGTTGAAAATTATGCAACAATACAAAAGAGACGAGCACACACACACGCTAACTCTTGCACATGTGGCCAGAACAGAGATGCCAACACGTTCACACACATATACACACACACATGCACACACTTTCGGAAGTGCTGGCAATTTAAAAGCGCAAACCGCTTTTGTTCTAGCGTAAAATGTTAGCCAGGTTTGCTGGTAAATGATTGCCGTGCAACGAGTGTCTGTGTCATGAATACCCAGCTAAGCGACTTACTAAGGGGTATATTAGATTTGGCTAGAAATTACGTGGAAGTGATTCTATTTCAATATGAATTAATATAACTTGTTTATGGCTAAAAGTGAAAGTTTTTTAATATGGAACTTAGTTCTTAAATAGACTAATATTGATAAATAGCTATATCTATGTAGTAAAAATTGGGCATTTAAAAATAATTTAATATAGAGTATTTATAAAAGTATTATATTATAATACAAAATATTTCTTAATATTTCAAGGTGTTTGCTGTCTTTCATAGAGTTCTTAATTTAAGAACATAGTTAATCTTTATATAATATATTAAATAATCTATCAAGGTATATGCTGTATCTCATAGCGATATTTTATCAAGATAATAGTTCCTTAACTTATTTTATAGTTGATATCTTATAGTTGATAATCCAATATATCGAGACATGTTATATTTCAGAGGGTGTCTAATAGTTGACATTTTTTCATTCTTCTTCAAAAATAATAGTTATCTCTAGATTCTAGACTAAACATAAACTGCGTCTAAATATAGCATACTTTAGAGGGTAGCTGGTAGGTCAGACTTCACTGTTATAAATTTGGGTGAAACTAGAGGGTATCTAATTGCCAACTATAACATCTATTGAATATGATCAATGATATATATGAAAATGCTCGAACTGTAAACATATAAAACATGAGGGATCTTTAAACATAAAACAGAAGGAATCTACGGCAATAACTGAGAACAACTATCCTAAGCAAGCATTATATCTAGGCTATACACTACATATTATACTCTCTAAAAATATAGCACACTGCACAGGGTATCTTCTAGCTTATAATATGTCCGCACAAGCAATCGAAGTGCCTTTTAATTGTCATGAATTACCGTAAGAGTGAGTGAGACGGAGAGAGCGGGGGCAAATGTCTGTTTGATCTCGTGCTCACGAAAAGCAGCTCCCACAACGGATATATATCGTAATGGAATCAAATTAAGCTGCAATTTGATAAATGGAGTGTCTAAGTATGTGTGTGTGTGAGTGTGTGTGAGTGCAATAATTGAGTTGACTGGCTGGCAAAATGAAATGATGTATTAAACGAGCGCTGTTCGCTATGCCAAACTCATGCTATATCGTTAACTAATAAGTTGGCTTAATCTAGCGTAAATATGCACACATTAATTTTATATATACACACTTATATATACATATATAATTGATTTATTCTCGTTTTTGTTGCGTTAGGACTGGTGGGACTCGAAGCTGCCCGAGGACAGCGTCTTGTGCTGCCTGAGTGTGATACCCAAAGTGCTGCTAGCTGGTGCGATTACCTTGATGGATGAGGCCTATTTCAAGCTGGCCGTTTGGTTGAACGATAGGGGTAAGATTTGTTTATATAATATCCGAATTATATATAATAATTATATATAATAAACTTTTCATAGAAAACTATCGCCTGCAATCGAAGTACGAGAATCATTTGATAGCGAAAGTTGCGCTATTTCAATTCGTCAACTCGTTCCTTTCGCTCTTCTACATTGCCTTCTATCTGCGGGATGAGGACAAGCTGAAGGAGGTTTGTGCCTAAGCATCATTAAATGTCTTTGCAGTTCTCTTTTATTTAAGCATTCTTTGTGTTTCTTTAGCAATTGGCTGGCTTGCTCATCTCTCGTCAAATTATTGGCAATCTACGCGAATCGGCTGTACCCTATGTCCTCGAGCAATGGAAGCTAGCCAAGTTGAGCTTCAATATGTGGGGCGCTCTGAGCCCCACACAGCATGTTAATCGCAGTCTAGCCGAGGAGCTGGCCACTGCCGAGGAGAAGCTCAAGGCTGAGGCGGCTGCCACAACTAAATCTACAGCACAGCAGGAGCAACAGCAGCAGCAGCAACAGCAGCAGCAATCTACTAACAAACGTAACATTGGACAAGCCGAGATTGAGAGCTCTCTATATAAAGTAAGGGATGCTTAGAAACTATTGGTTAGATTTGCATTATAAGCTATAGATGATGTGGTACAGGTGTTTAGATATAGCAAGTGAGATATAGATATGCTAATAATTAATATGTAACGGAAAATCATTCAATGAGTTGGAAGTTATAACTTGTAAGTTAAGAGATGTGAAAAGCATTTAGATTTAATTTGCAGCATCAGTTCGAGATGTGTTTTTTGTTTAGATATCAAGCCTGAAATATATAGATAGTATTTATTTGAATTTCAAAGCTTAGTATAGCGTGTAGAGGTAAAGAAGATCTTTGAGTTAAATATATATTACCCAGAATGATAAATCAGTTTGGAGATTCAATGCATACCAGCATATAAGTTTTTCATAATTTAACTGAATATAAAAATTTTTATATTTTATTGAAAGTAAGAATAAGTATCTGTAGAATATTATAGTAGTAGTAGGCTATTGTGGGAGTAAATATAAAAGTGGCAGTACTAATACTATTAGTAGTAGCAATAGTAGTAGTAATGTTATTAGTAATGTAAAAATATAGTAGTAGTATTTTATAAATGTAATAGTAGTTTTTATAGTAGTGGTAAATGTAGGAAATTATTCAGTACTTTTAATAATTTCCTACATTTACTACTACTATAAAAACTACTATTACATTTACTACATTGTAGTGGTATATTTTAATATAAAGGGTAGAATATTATAGTAGTAGTAACAATATTAGCATTTATAATAGTAGTAATTATTATAGAAGTATTAGTAGTAGTATATTAGTAGAATTTTTTATAGACGTAGTAGTAGTAATAGTAGTAGTTAAATAGAATAATTATTAGCAGTAGTAGTAGTATTATTAGTAGTAGTTGTAGTATTCTTAGTATTATTAGTATGAGTGTAGTCAAGCCAAAGTCTAAATCAAATACAAACTGTATTTCATATAAAAATCAATTAATTAATCTTGCTTACTTAATTAAGTTGATGATAGTTCATTCAATTCATATGAAATATATTTATCACTCTAATTAAAACTGCATTAAACAGCCCTCGCTTCTACTATTGCAGTACGATGGGACATTCTCGGATCATTTGGAGATGCTGGTGCAAATGGGCTATGTGGTGCTCTTCTCGGCCGCCTTCCCGCTGGCCGGGGTCTGTGCGTTAATTAACAACCTGATGGAGATCCGCTCGGATGCGTTTAAGCTGGCCCATGTGCATCAGCGGCCGTTTGGGCAGCGCGTGGCCAACATTGGCACCTGGCAGAATGCGTTGAGCATTTTATCGCTGGCCGCGGTTATTGTCAACTGTGCGCTGATTGGCCTCTCCGGGCAGGTGTCGCGCCTCTGGCCTGGCCTGACCACGGCGCAAACTATAATTTTAATCGTGACGCTGGAGGTGAGGCCAAATGGCAATCATTTATATTTATGTACATGCATAAAGTTTTAATGCATTTTCTGTTTGGCTGTTGCTCTTGTTGTTGTTGCCGTTTGCTTTCTGTGTGCAGCACATTATGCTGGGCCTGCGGCAGGCGTTGACTTGGCTGCTGCCGGAATTGCCCTCGTGGCTGGCGGCGGAAATAGCGCGTGCCGAGCACTGTCGCCGCGAGATGCAGTGCAAGGGCACCTCGCCCCGGCCCACACCACCGACGCCGCCCTCAACCACATCCACGCAGCCGGAGCAGGAGGTCACAGGTGCCGAAACCACGCACGATCAGTCCATGGAGAGTCAGCTGGCTGAGGATATGCTGCTCTATGGCCACGAGCTAGGCGCCAGCTATGGCCGCAGCATTGAGGCGGATGTGAATATATATGAGAATCGTGACTCTTCGCCCGACTCACCGCCATCGCAGGTGCGTGCAATGCGCACATACTTTCTACACTATATTTATACTTCTATATATGTATATGTGGAGCATATTAAAGCTAAGAGTTTAATCACTTTCAGACTAGCACCATACTCATAAGACCGCTGCATGAATCCACGCCGCCGCACGGTGGCGCCTCGCTGAGCAGTTTGCATCACGATGGCAATGGGTAAGAGAAGAAGCCAAGTCTTGGCTCTGGCTAAGCTCTTAAGTATTTTGCACACGCCAAGTTAATTAAGGTCCATTCAATGGCTGAATAATATGACTGGCAAACACACACACACACACGTACACACCATAACATTGGTATATACTATATACAAAAATATATTTTGCACACTTCAATTTATTCAAAAATTTTCTTAATATTTAATGCCTTTGATTAACTCCTTTTGCCATGGCCTCTCGCCTTTTTGTGTCATTCTCTGCATTTTTCCATTTTTCTTAAAAATTTTATTCATACGTTTTTTTTTATCGATAACTTTTGTAGCGCTTGTAAAAGTTGTAGGCAAAAATCGCAATTCTTTATACCGGAAATACCGCCATTTCTTGGATATTCGGTGCGCAATTTGAGTGCTCTGTCCGCGCACGGTCAGAGAGTGCAACAACAACAACAGCTGCTTAGCGGGTAAATTGTGTAATTCATTAACTATAGATGTGTGTGTGCAGGAGGAGGAGGAGGAGGAGGCATTGCAACACAATGCAACAATGCAAATTCAATGTGTTTACTGTGCTGTGCTCTAATTTCTTGCTGTTTGTTGTTGTTTTCGCTTTCAAAAAAAAAAACCAAAAATTCTAAACAATTTCTCTATCAATTGGCCAACCTCTTCACTTTACAAGCTGCTTACTCTAACTATAATAGATCTATGTATATATATATTCAACTTATTTATTCGTTAAAGTAAGGGTATTCCAGTAATTGATTTTATGGTTCATAAAATTTCTGTAGTTCATGGAATACCCCTACTTTAGACTCTTGTTGCTTTTCTCTACTCAACTTACTATATACACTCTGTCTTCATATATATTTCTCTTTCCTACTTTTTTTTCCTTATCGCTCGCTTCTGTTATGGCACCTTGCAGCGCTTCAGCTAGCACGCTAGCTCTGAACTCAGCCGCTGCCAGCTACGCAGCGCCGATGCATATACAAGAAATACCGCCGTTCCGCAAGAAATCGAGCGATTCGGCTGATCAGACAGGCAGCAGCACGGGCAGCAGTCCACAGCGCGTATCGGCGCGCCAACTGCTGCAATCAACCCACCAGCAGCAACAGCAACAGCAGCAACAACAGCAGCAACAACAGCAACAACAGCAGCAGCAACCAACTAGAATCGCAGAGATTCCGCCGTACAGCAAGCAGCGCAAAATATCCACAGAGAGCGTTGCCAATGTACCGCTGAGCGTAAGAACAGAGCACTATATATAATTTACATATATCTAGATATATCTACATATTTAGATATATTTCAATGCCATTAAAATCTTTCCCTTTCACACAAACTGAACCCTAGCCAAACACCCTCGACTTGTGCGTAGCTTGACCAATAAAACCTCGATACCTGACCAAATAACACCTAACTGTTGCCAAATACTAATCTTAGCGCTAAGTAGTAGTATTATTAATTATTATTATAGCTATATAACATTTTTGCAACAATTGAACATTGATTAGATACTTGTGACTCGATGTTGTGAGTAGAGCAAAAATAGTTTTTCACAACACTACTCTATGGCACTACTTCCACTCTGTTGCTGACAAAGAAAGTATAGAATTAGGCCCCATGTTTACAATAGCTTGTGAAAATTATATGATTAGTATTATCAATAATCAAGGATTAATTACAGTCTAACTATTATAGACTGTAGCGAATTTAGATTTAAAAAAAAAAAATTAAAAAATAAGAATTATTCTCGAGCTTTTTAAGCTATTTAAAAAATATGTATATTGTTAATTATTAAAATTAATATAGTATAAAAATAATAATAGTATTTTTAAACTGGCATACTAATGTATTTTGATTTGATTTGATATTTTTTATTTTTTTCCT